ATCATCATCATCATCATCATTACCATCATCATCATCACTGCCTAGCTCACCCTGCATCAGGGTATAGGTCACGATCAAACACGTTCCACCTTTCCATATAATGAGATAGCCTCTTGATATCTTCCAATATTTTCCCACTCTTCTGTTACTCTTCTCCACGTTCGAAGAGGCCTTTCCTTTGATCTCTTACCCTGTTGGTTCCCATCCAGCACTTTCTTTTTTATGCAGCTGTCTGGGTTCCCGAGAGTATGTCCAAATCATCGCCACAACCGTGCTTGAAGTTTGATTCTTCGCCAACGACAGCACACACAAAAACCCTCTCCCGGACTCCTTAATGAATAAAATAGTTATTGAGTCGACGGGGGTGTAAAACACACGCAACCACAACAGAAACTCACTAGGGCACTTGTAGAGTTTGTTGGTCTGTCGTACGTCCCCATCACTGAGTCGTATGTTTTGGCCGATACGGGGCAGGGCGATCATGCCTCTCTGACGGAACGGCCGGATGGTGTCCAGGTAGCTGTGCTTGGAGAACTTGTCACGAGAGTAGTGCATGATGCTGCATTATGGGGTAAAAAAAAAATAACACGTCATGCGGAATGGCGGCTTACTTCTGTCATAGTGGCCAATATGACATAAATTTTTTGAACTTGAACCTCCCCTACACACGATACACTTCGGGGGCCAAAACCCCATACTTTAACTGGTAATGCTAAGTTGAAAATACCTTTCGTGTATGACACAGAGCACAAACAGAGCGCAGAGGCTTAAAACAAAATATAAAATCGGCTGTTTGTTCTGATGTACGAAGCCCAACATTTTTAAATTATTGTTTAATGCAGTTTCTTAATCTGTGTTATCGGTTGCATGTGCACAAGAAAATTGAAGTGAATCAAGAAAGGGTGTATAATTAAGGCACAATGGTTAAAGGAATGAAGCTGATAGTTTTTTTGCTTCCTGAAGTATTTTGCTTTCTAGGCCTAGTACATTGGAACAGTTTGCTGACGATAATGCCAAGTTGCTAAGTAAAAGTTTGCGATACAAGCCATATATATACGAGAAAAAGTAAACGTTTAATTTTTAAAACTACTTCCGTTTAACCTGAATTTGATATAAGATCATATGAGCATGATGCGAGGTAATTTGAACATGAGGTGAGTGATATGAACATGATGTGATGTAATATAAACATGGGGTGGGGTGATATGAACATGATATGCGGTCAGGTGGATGAGGCAAGAACTAATGCGAGAATTGGTGGACACGAGAATGTAGGCCTAGATGAAGTAGAGTGAAGCGACACGCAATAGAATAGCACGATGGAAAGAAGTAAGACGGGGTAAAAGGGGGAACAGAACTGGATTATTTGACACTTCATCAAGCGGGAAACGAACCTGCCATAGTCGTACGGTTCACCAAGGGAATCCACTTTATCTTCGTCCAAGATGTTGAACTCGCTTTCTTTGCCTGTGAAGAGATTTTTGTTACTTAACCTTAGCTGTAACAAATAATAATTTATTTATAGAGGCACAAGATGTCTAGGTATATGAGCTGTTTTGGCCTCCTTTTCTTCTCTATTTCGGGGGGGGGGGGGA